ACGCAAAGCTTTACAACAAATGGAAGAGGTGCTCCTCACCTTTATGTTTTTTTGTTTTCTTTGAATGTGTCTGCATTCTTTTCCTCTACATCTAATTGCAAAGAATCTTTAGGAATTGATAGTTATGCAAATGTAGCTAATCTGTCAAATGTAATCTTTTGCCTTCCCAACTAACCTGATAGTACAAAAATTAGCTAGAATTTGTTTCATTTTTGGTCTAACTATGCAAGCTGACTTCTAATGACTGCCTTTTGCTTTCTTGCTTCAGTCTTGTTGCTCTGCCTTAACTCTTTTCAAATCACCCTTCAGCTTCTTCCTTAATAGAGAAGCTAGAGGACTGTGCTATACCTCTCTTTACAATATAGCAATGCATAATTTAGTAGAAATTGTAAAATCATTGTATTGTTTCAGATTAACAAGCATGCCTTCTCAGGAGGCAGAGACACTATTGAAGAGCACAGGAAGTATGGAGGTAACTGTGATGTAGATGTGTCCTTTATGTACCTGACTTTCTTCCTTGAAGATGATGACAAGCTTGAACAACTGAAACAAGTAAGTAGCCAAGCAGAAGATATCCTTCATTCCTTTCCTTGGGGACAAACCTTTAACTAAGTTCACAGGTCATCTTTTTTTCTTTTTTTTTAATCCAAATGAACATTTTTAATTTCTAAGTATTTTCATAACTTTTTCCAACACTGTAGAGCATAAGTCCCCAGCTTTTTAAATGATGCTGCCTTAGGATCAGTATTGTTTTTAATTGTATGATAAACTTCACCTGTTCTTTGTGTGCAAAGTACCTAAATACAGCTTCAAAGGCTGGCTGTTTTGGTTTTTTTTTTTTTTAATTTTTTTTTGTCTTATTATCACAAGAAGGGTAAAACCTGTTTTGTATAATTTACATTTATACATGTCTGGCAGACTTCTGCCCATTGGGGGTTTAGTTAATAGTACCCACATCATATTGATTTATCAGCTTTCTCCTGCAGGAGAAAGGCAATAGCTACAGATTCTTTTCTAACCTTTTACTCCTTCCCAAACAAGGACAGAGTTGGATAGTTACTAGTAATCCTTTTGCAAACTGTTGCAAATTCCTTCCTTATGGAAATCTGGAGTGTGTTTTACATATTTAGCAATTTTCCATTAGGCTCCAGCCATTGAAATATTTAGTATACAATTCTTGCTACCAAGAGCACAAAGACTAGACCACAGCCAGCAGCTTATTGTAGAATCATTAAGATTGGAAAAGACCTCTAGAATGCAACTGTCCACCCATCACCATAACTGCACTGCTGCCTCAGAATCAGATTAGAAAACATGAAGTCACTGCTTACAGCAGCATTAGTGGAGCTGTTTCAGTTATGATTCCATAACTTTCAGAACTGCATACTCAAAGCAACAATGTCTTTAAAAAATAAAAATTAGAACTGAAATTAAAACAGTTTGTTCTTGTTAAAGTATTTTTCTTGAATTGCTATTACAAACGGCCTGATGAGAAAGGGGAAGTAAGTTTATTGCCATTTCAAATTGTAGTTGAACTGCCATAGCCATGTTTTCTAACCAGTGCTAAACTCTGCTGTTTAGCAAAAATATTTTCAGGAGCAGAGCAGTTGCACAGATTACCAACTCGTTATATAGACAGCTAAACAGAGTTTGAGGGTCTGCTGTAAAAAGCTTACTCTGATCTCATCTCATACTTTACCCAAACTAAATGAGAGAACAGTGAAAATGTGAGCTGCTTATTGCAAAAAGCTGTTTGTTTGTTTTTTAAGTGAGATGTTAAGGAGAAAAATGTGCAATTTCCTGCAAATAATTACATCGCTTCCCAATTCAAATTGTATTTATTATATATAGCTAAACATGAGATCATCCAGCTGCCTCAGTCTTTTAAAAATCAATAAGAAATTCTTACAAGGTGTGTTTTCAATGATACCACATTATCTTCTAAGGCACGTGTTCATTTTTAAGACATCCAAATCTTCATTTGCCCTGGCCAGGCTTTTTAAGAAATACTTATCACTAGGTCTTGTTCTGTTTAGCATTATATTTAGCAAGTAACACTTTGTTGACAGGCATACACAAGTGGGGAATTGCTCACAGGGGAGCTGAAGAAGGTGCTTATTGAAACATTGCAGCCCTTGATAGCAGCTCATCAAGAGAGACGGAAGCAGATCACAGATGAAGTAGTGAAGCAATTCATGACTCCACGGAAGCTGGCTTTTGAATTTTGAAGAGATGTTTATGTAACTCATCACTCAGTTAATCAAAATTGAGTAGTTGTTGTCTTCTGCTGTATATTATCACTCCCCAGTTATGAGCAGCCTGCACTCAGTGCTTTATAAATACTGCTCTTAATGAGCTACTTATAAGGAGTATCAGAGTCCTGGAAAAGTTTAAAATAGAGTTTAAAATAGGACTTGTATCTATTTAAAATCAAAGTATGTTAATTAAGGCATCAAATCTGTATGAGATATAATTACCTAATCTAACAGAGAAGCATGTCTGTCAGCCCAAGACTGTATTTTACTGTATTTCATGTTGAAAATATAAATAAAATTGCCATTTTGATTATGAAGTCTAACTTGCAAATTGTTTTAGAAATGTTGGTTAACAATCATGCCTTGGCCTAATAGTTGGTAGTCTCCATTGTGTTTCACTTCACTTGGTTCACTGGCCAGTGTGTCCCTTGAGGCTACTGGGAACATGCTGCACACACAGAGCGAGTGTTACATAGCAAATCACAAGGTGTCTTGGGCCTGGGATCAGTGCAGAAGGAATGGAGATCTATGAATCGTACACAAGAAGAAGAAAACCAGCCTGATTTTCTTACTGCCTTCCTTTTTGAGCTGTCAAAAAGTTGCAGAAATTTCACTCCTATTTTTGCATCTTTTCGACTGGTCTCACTGCCTCTGAAGGCTATTGTTGAGTTATAAACTTTCTTGATATTCTCTGGTGGAAGATATTAGAGAAATGCAAATTTTAGTTTCAAGTTATGAAAAATATTACATGTCGGATCATACAGTGAATACAAATTTCCTCCTGGACACAGGGGTACTTGTAGTGTTGTCTGTCCTGTTTTACTGCACTAGGCAGTTTAAAGATATACTTTCTCACCAAAATACACTTTGTTAAAAAACTTCATGCAATATTTCATTTTTCCTTACTTAAAAAGAACTCTGATGTCTTTGCTGTGATTGATGGGGAAAAAAAATGACGATTCACTAATTTGATTTAGTATGTCTAATTCCGAACACGCAGTCAGATCTGTCTTCTATTTATACAGAAAAGGCAGTTGCTGGCCCAGACGTGGCCTTATCTAAGTCAAATAAAATTACCTTTGATAACACTGGTGGGTATTGATATACGGTATTTGCAAATCATTTAAAACATAAGGAAGGCAATGTAATGGGGTGTGAAATATTTAAACCTTAACAGTTTTGTTGTGTGGGTCAGAAAAAAAAAAAAAGAAAAAAAGAAAAAGAAAAAAAACCAGCACCCACCTGTTGCCTATGAACCTTTGAAGTCAGCTGGTGGCACTTGAGTTAAAGGAGAAGCTACAAGGGTAAAAGTTCTTACTGGCTTTAAGCCACCTTGCATCAGCCTGGTAGCACATTTGTACTATTTGCTCTGCCTGGAGCTTCTCCCTTCCCACCTGTAGTAGTTCTGTAACACCACATAAACATCCTTTCCAGTAGTGACCTGCATTTCTGAGATGTAAATACATGCGTGCCAAGCTGGGTATGAGGTAACCCTGTTTTTGTTATATTTATGCAACGGACTGAAGGAAGAACAAAGCAAGCTTAGTCTTAGAATCCCCATAGAACGGCTTAAGTTGGAAGGGACCTTAAAGATCATCCAGTTCCAACGCCCTGCTGCAGGCTGTATGCCACCCACCGGATAAGGCTGTCCCATACCCATCCTACACAGCATTGAATGCCTCCAGAGACACTACCCACTTCTCTGGGCAGGCTGTGCCGGTGCTACGCTCCCTCTGAATAAAAAATGTCCATCTAATATTTAACTTATATCTCCCTATTTCCCCTTGTCCTATAGTGATAGGACATCTGCCCATGTAAAAAGTCAGTCTTTCTCCTTCTTGTGAGCTCCTGATTTGCACATTTCAAATATGAGCTGAAAAGCAATTTTTAGCTTTTATCCTATTTTTACAGTTTATGTAACCTGGTACCACTAATCTAATGTGTCATAGACTTTAATGTATTCAAGTAAACATTTACCAGCCACTTCTTCTCCATAACCCTGGGCATTGTATCTTAACACGGACAAGTGTTTAACAGTCAGTAGAAACACTGTTTTGTTTTGTTTTTTTTTTAAAGCAGTGTAGCAATTCATAGGAAAAACAAATAGGTTCTTGTAGATGTTAGTAAATAAACTAATTTATATTTGCAGTAGACTTCAATGATGACCTTCCTGTTCCTGTCATCTGCTCTTCTCCATCTTTAAACTATACACAAAACATAAGACTTAATGAATTCTAAAGGGCTTTTTACAAACTTGCAGTGCAACTTTCTTCTTGAAAATGTTACATGCAGATCTGTCCTTCAAGATGTATTTCGCTAACCAAAAATGTAGTTATTCAGGGAGGGGAAACGTGCTGTAGAAGAAACAGCGAAGTGTTCTAACTAAGCACATGGATTAGTTTTCTAGCAAAGCAGTTAAAACCTTATTCCAAAGTTTTAGAAGGGAAAATGATTGCAAAATTAATTTAATACTTGTTTACCGAGCAAGCACCTCACTCACATACCCTCATGGGTACTTACAAAATGTGCTTCTGAAATGACACAGTTTCTCAGTCTTGGTAAATGCTTAAATCTGGTGTAATTATAATTAACATCTCAGAGACATTTAAAGGTGAAGACAAGGCAGTCCTCAAACGTATGGGTGAAAAGTTATCAGTCAATGTTGATTATGCTTTCCTCAACTTGTTCATATTTTGTTTATCTCACTATAATTAAAAAAAAAACGCAGTGAAAAGTCTATCCAACTTGTTTTGCTTTTTGAATTTATTTAACTTTTAAAAGGCTTCATTTACACTTCCTCTGTTGTTTAGTCATCACAAGGAGTCGATCACTGTTTTGATGTCCAGTGCCTTACAAACAGTGAAATAAAGTGCCTTATAACCCCATTCATCTGGTCTGAACAAGTAAACTCCAGATTGCTGCCAGAGCAAGGTAATAAGGGTCAGTCCTCCAAAGATTAACAGGTTGCAAGCAAGACTGAGCGTTGAATTTCCTTATATAGCAGCCAGCTCGGAAATAGAGAGAGGTCAATATGACCTATTAGAGCAACGTTTCCACAGGTCTGACATAAAATACTTAAATGTGACTCTACCATTACAGTTGCCAAGGAATACAAGTTGTGAATAGCTTTACATTGCTCTGCCAGTCACAAAGAGGCACGCTGAAACCTACCTGGATATTCTTAAGCATTGTGAGAAAAAAAGAAAAAGAAAAAAAAAAACAGGAACTATCAATGACATGAAAGCAGAATGTGCCTTCTAAAGAAAGTTTTCTTTATTCAAGGCCAGCCAGCAAGTTTGTTTCTGAAAGAAATTGTCTCTACAGAGAGCTATATGGTGTCTTCATTCTGCTGGCCTTCAGATAGATAATGTATCAGAAGAAATAGTTCTGTGATTATCAGAGCAGCAAATACAGAAGCTGAAGATCAAGGCAATACAAAGTAATCAGAAAACAGAGCAGCCAAGTTCTGAAATGTACAAGGCAAACAACTTGTTGCATATGGAGTTAAGTACACAATATAAACACTATGTCACATCATTAAAGAAAAGTTGGTTCTTATTTACATGCCTAGGTTTCCAGTACTCACACATTCAGTACCTTTGCCTGGTGGCTAATTCACCTTGATATAAATTGCTATGAGTTCTTGTTTTAAAGGTTGTCAGATCATCAGTCAAACCCTGGGTACATTGGGTTTGTCTTCTTTTTTTCCAGTAAGGGGTTGTAGCACACTACACAGTGCAAGCAGTTAGATTCTTGAAATAAACTGATAAGATCTGTAAGATAAAACTTACCTCTCATGTAGTATTTATCTGTTCAGGCCCTGGGAGAACCTACTTTTCACACTGCTGAGAATGTAGAAGAGGCTCACTGTTCTCAACTCCTCTCACTGGCTTCCACAGCTGTGCCCACTAATTTTCCAATCCAGCTGTAATTCGTGGTTCTTGAAACAAGCTGTGTATAAGTTATGGCCACCACAAAGACGCTTTTAGTCACATGAATGCTTGAAGCTACTGGAGAAAGCTGGGATACTGTCGATTAGAGTTTATTTTCAAGCCTTGGGCTGACCACAGACAGTATCAACACTACCTAATAATAAATGGTTGTTTAGCTTGACATAGAGCTATGTATTTTGCTGTCTGTTCATGGGATGTAATGCTTGAGAAGGTCAGCTGAGAATAATTTGCTATAAAAGAATTTGATTTCAGAAAACACTCTGCCAGGGCTGGGATGAGTTAGTACCCTACCGGGGCAGGCCCCAGCCAGATGCATCCCTCATAGAGAGGTGAGAAGCCTCTTAGCATTTGTCTTAAGAGAAATTCCAAATCTTGAGGACTTAATTAAATCTTCTGTTGTGAGCACTTTCAAACCAAAGGAGGTTTGGCGCTGATGCCCTAAAGGTCTAAGCGTGGGTCACAGGTTACTGAGGCCATACGCACTTTGGGATAGAATCAGATTCCGTGCCGGATCTTTCAATCCCCCCCATGCTCTGCACCTGTCTGCTATTGGATCACGTGAGAGATTAACAGACTCGTGAGAAACAAAAATTCTGGGAGCTGTTTGATAGCATGGCCATGATGCAGTTTAAAAAACAAGCTGAATGTTTAGGTTTCAGGAGGATAGTTCTGGAATTTCTTACTAGTTTCTCTCTGAAAGAAATCACCTTTATTCTTTCCTAGTGGCATCTGAAATTTCTTAACTTGCCCTTCTAGTACAAGATTCTTCCCTGTCCAGGGTGCGTGCCAAGTCCTGTGTGCTACAAAATAACTGTATGTGTAGCCAAGTCTATGCTACGAACTTATAAAAGGGGTCCAGAAGGAAGAAATCACATGGTTTATGGGAATTGATGCCTGTTTTCACTTTCACTGAGGCCACTGAATGATTGTGTGAGTAGACTATGTCTGCCACTCCTTAAAAAAACAACTGGAAAAGAAAGAGATTCATATTTCAGCCTCTACTGAAGGGATGTCACTGTAGAGTACTTGGGCAGAATTACACCTGGGAGTGAGCAGCCTGCCTGCTCAGGCTGGAGACACACATACGGAGAGTGCCCAGTGGATACCCTGCAGCTCTACATATAAAAAGAATGTGTTGTATAGTGTTATATTGCACACAAAACCCTTGATTCCTGCCTCAGTAGTGAAGGTTTGGGGTTTTTTTTCTGCGCTAGTAGAGAACAAAATTAAACCTTTACCAAATTCTCAAATTAGACCAGCAGTTTTTTGGAGCATAAATATTGCACACGTTTGAGTGGCCTAAGCAGTGGCTACAGTCAAAATACATTAACAAGGTAAAAGAGAGGTTGTACACAAGTTTGTACACAAGGTTGTACACAACCTCCCTGATGAGTGTGTAATCATGTGAGAGCCGTTGGTCAACAGGTGCTGTGCTGAAGTGCCCCTGCTTCATGTGCTGCCCACCAGTAGAGAGCTCAGTGCATGTCTATGTTGGGCTACAAAACCAAACTGAACAAAACACGCTTCTTGCTAGAGCTGCATCTGCTATTTTTTGTTTGTGAAATGCTCTGTAAACCTCAGCACAGCTTCATATGTGACAAACACCACCATGTTCACAGGAAAGGCGCGGATGCAGTTCAAACCCAGGCCTTTGAACAGCACTTTGATCCCCTCCTTTCTGATGCTTTCTCTCGCGCAGTGGATGAGACCTTTGTATTTGTGCTGTCCCGACTCGTCCACCTGCATCCGTGACTTGAGGACGTCCATGGGGGTAGCAAGGCCCCAGGCCAGCACTCCAGCAGAGCCCCCAGAGAGCAGCACGACCAGGAGACCTGCAGAGAGAGAGCAGTGTGATCAGCCTTGCATGTGCCAACAGCTCAAACTGATTCTCCCCAGACACTCATTTAACTTTTTTCAAATCTCATACTGCAGTTGGAGGGACAGGAGAGGGAAAAAGGAGCTGTGGGGCCATGCATGCTGTGCACAGGACTAGTCTTCACTAGGACCCTCCCTACATATCCTACCATGCTGCCATCCTGGTTGGACAGCCTGCAGATCCCCCTACTTGTTTTTATCCTCATGTTTTCCAGTGGTTACTTTGCTCGGCTCCTGCAGCTCTGTGTTTCCAGTGGTCTCACACTGACAAGGCACTTGATCTCATAGCACGCTCCTTTTTGCATCCTTCATACAGGCTGGGGTCAGAACCCACCTCAGCATCACACAAACCAGATGCAACATAGCCCAACAGCATTCACCCACTTCAGCCAGATCTACTTATTTTTATAACTCTCAGAATTCTGCTTTTTTGGTAAACATCACTTATTCAGGCTTTTCTCAGAGTGGGTTTGCTTTTTAGAGCCAAATCACAACAGAGGAACTTGTCTCTTTCTATTATTCACCTGAACTTTATTTTCAAGCTCCAGACTGGCCTGAGCAGTGCCTTATGATGGCTCATGGGAGGTTTGTCCATGTTTCATCTCCACCTACACATCTCATTTCAGCACTGAGGGGATGTTGTACCCATGTGCTAGGTACCTGAGGGTGCTGTGAACATCCTTCTGCAGGGAGAGAAGTTGCTGAGGGACGAGGTCAGACGCTCAAAGTTCAGCTCCTATTGATGCAGCAACCTGAGTACATCATTTCCCAAAATAAGCCCTTTTTGTATGTCAGATGCTTTCCAGTACCTACCTGGTTTGTTTTTCCCAGCTGGTGTGAGCCAGTCACAGAGAGAAGAGTATGTCAGGAAATATATTGCAGAAGAGGAGCAATCCCTCCACAGCAATGCAGAGCAGCCTTTGTAGAGACCCCCAAAGCCTTCCTCCTTGGCGATCACCTTCAGACAGTGCAGAGACCCTCGGTACTTGGGTTGGGAGGATGTGACAGAGGAATGGGGGTTCCTCTGGGTCTGCATCCGAACTTTAGCTACCTCACTGGGTGTCATAAGCACAACCTGAAAAATTAGAGGAAGAAGCTTAAATCTTCTCATCTGAACTGCACGTTGGATTCCCTCTCCTGCCTGACCCTTCAAATTACATTTCCCACTTTTCAGGCAGTATTATTTGTTACTTGAAGCCAGCAAGCTGCATCTTCCTTCGCTCTGTCCATGCTAAATTGCCCCAGGAGATTAGCTGCTACACTGTGCAGGTTGCATGGAGAGGCAGAAACCCACAGAGGATGTTAGCTAGCTGGGAAACCAGATGGGCACAGCAAGGAGATGTGCTCAGCTCTCTGATGTAGCAATACATCAGGGTTCTTTTGTACATCTGTATTTGAAACTAGGGCCATAACTATCAGAAAACAGCCTGCGCTAAGTAGAGTCACCACCTGCTAGGAAACACCCACCGACCTGCCATCTGGGCTGCCTGTAAGAGGATTGCCTCCAACCGCCTGTGACTGTATGTGTTTCTGACACAGGGCACTGGGGTTGGAGTGTCTGCAGATGCTCACAGACACCGCAAGCACCCATCTGCCTATGGGAAACAGCTCCTAAGTACCCCACACCACATCACTATCAGTCACGGGCATTGATTCCTCCAGGTGCCAACTGCTCCAGCCTTTGGGAGTTGCAGGAAAGGAGATGCCTTTCTGTCCTCTTTAAAACCTTTTATTCAGGAATGAAATACACACAGGCAGCCCTCAGAGTCCAGCTGGGTCTTTCAGCCCTTTGCCCCTGCCAAAACACCAGCCCACGCTTTGCACACCAGCTTACGTCTTTTTTTACATAAATCTACAATTAGAGCTACTTGGAAATTTTGCTTCCCAGGTTGTTTTTCTTCCTTTTTGTTTTGCTTTCTTTTGCCAAGGTTGCAGGGCAGGACCTCACAAGAAAATAAACCTTCCTTCCGCTGAGCGCTCAACAGAAAACATCAGTGTTTTCCCAGCCCCACATGCCCCAACAAGTCCTCCTGTTGTGCTTTCCACTTCGCTGCCTACCCGCACAGCACCAGCAGCACTTCCAGCCAGAGAAACATCCAGCCCCGATGGCTTGGCGTCGGCTGTGCCGTACCGCAGCTTGCAGATGTTACAAAGGAAGTTTCTGTATGTGCCGAATGAAACAGAGGAGATCAGCGACACTGTGAAGACTGATGCTGACACACCTTTGTAAAATCCCAAAACCTGATTGAAAACAGAGAAGATTTTAAGAGGGAGTGGTGTGAGAAAGTTCAAAAACACTGTCCACATATGGCTGAGCCTAAACTTACTGCCGTCCTACAGATGATTGGCAAAGTTAAATCCCATTCTAATTATTCTCCCAAGCAATGCTTGTATTCAACTGCAACTTGTCCTCCACAGATTGACCGCAGCAGCACTGCTCCTCTGAAACACAAAGCCATCCACAACCCCTGCCAGTGGCTCTAATGAGAGGTACCTACTCTTTCTGTCCTGTATGTTTCTTGAATGCAGTGCCAAATGCCATTGTAATGCCCCTCGGTCTGAATCCTCACCTAAAAACACAGGAGCAACTTAGCAATGCAGACATCACACTTAAAAGCCATCAACAAATGCTGCAGCAGCAAAGCAGCTAATCAGCCATAAGGAAGCATCCCCCAAAATGTTACCATTATCTTTAAGAGAAGTACACAACTAAAATGAAATACATTGATGTGACAAAGCTGGAAGCTTTCAGTCACTGGATTAGTTTTCTAACGGTAGAAAAACACGACATGACCCCTTTGTGTTCAGACTGTGGTCAAGAAGTAAAGTTCCAACAGCTACCTTCACTGTGTCCAGCGGATACCCCACTGCTGTGCTTAGGCCACCTGAAACAGAAAGGTTTTTGGACACAGTTACCAACACACATCACAGCAGGCTGTTCTGCAGGAGGTCATGAGGGGAACTGCAGAAAAATGCAACTGCTGAACCTGTCTGCTCTTGGTAGCATATCACTCTCCAGCTCCACTGTCTGAGCCAACAATGACAGCAAAACTCATAGATTTGTCTGAACACATAGCATGCTAAGAGGAGGAATGTGAGCATTGACATAAGCAATTACACTATGGTTTGAGGCAGGGCTGGAAAAACATAGAGCCTTGGGACAAGGGAAGGTACATGCATGCACCAGCCCTGGGATTCAGTGCAGCCCTGCTGGAAAGGGCAAGATGGAATGCACAGAGATGTGCTGTCTCTGTTCCCACTCTCAGCTCAGACAAGAGCATCCTCCTTGTGCACCAGACAATTTGTACACTGCAAAAACAGAGTAAGGATCAAAGGTCTGGAGGCTGGGGAGGAGAGAGCCTTGTGCGAGGGCCAACAGGGCAAGATGAAGGCACAGAGGGGGATTAGCTCTAAGCTGCGTGCCCAGCAGCATGCCTGCACGCAGCAGCATTTCCAGCATGCTGGGGGAATTTGTCAGCCCTACATCAGCACCCAGCTCATCTCAAGACCTTAAAATAGCCACTGGGATTGGAAATACATTAATCCTATCAGACAAAGTGACTGCCTTTATACAGAGAGTGAAAGTGTATCAACATGGACACAGCAATAAGGTGCTCAGCCCCCCTACTCTCTGTATCACTGCCACAGGAGAGAATAGGGGGGTGAGCAGCTAAATTCTTCCTGGTATAGCAATGCCACATGGCTGCAGATCAAGCCAGGTGCAGTGGAACTTCACCTCTAAGAGTCATTTGCACCAGTGCTGTTTGAGCCCATCAGGGTAGGCACAGGTGGTACATAGCTGAAAATGCCACTTATTGACTGCTGCTTAAAAAAAATACTAGTTGCTGTGAGCATTTCACATTTCACAGGATGCATTCATGTGCAATTGTACAGCTGCTTGGAAGCTCTGAGAAGCTTTGCTACATTTTGAGAAAAAGCAGCAGCTGCTGGTGGGAGTCTCCAGGAGGCAATCCTGAAGTCCACAGCTCAGATGAAAATAATTAACCATTCCCAGCTTGCAGGCAAATGAGGACTCAGCAAAAATCTGTCTGCACCCAGAAAAACTACAATAAAGATTAAAAAATGGGCAAAGAAGCGACTTTCCTTATTTCCAATCCAAAACAAGAGTAGGTTGGAAGGGAGAGGGGAAGTGTGCAGGCAACATGACCCAGCAGGAAGAGTGCACCAGGTCACCTGGGGCCACCTGTCCAGTTGGCAGCGGGCAGCAGCCACAGGTTGTCCCATGCCGATTTCCCATTGCATCTCATTCTGAAGGGCTCCTGCTGACCTTGGCTCCAGTACCAATCAAGTGCCTCCACCTGGGAGGGAGCACAAATGTAAATGATTCACCACGCTGGTGATGCGAGCTCTCAATACCCTTAAGCAACCACGAAGCACCTAATGAGCACAAGCGCTCTGGGCAGTCGGGGTTTCAGTGCTGAGGAGCTCAGCCAAGTCTGCCAAAGGGTGAGGAAGAAGGGCTCTGCACAGTGCCACAGGATATTAATAGCTTGGGACAAAGATAGACTGACCCACACATGCACTGTCCGCATGGCAAAACTGATCAAGGCCAGATATGTACAGCATGCATACAGGGAAAGGGGTCCTATGGGGTTCCTGCTGGGTCACACTGCACTGGCTGTGGGGAAATTAGATGATAAAACCAGAAGAATGCTCTTCATTGGGTTGCAGGGAGCCATTTGTCACACCTTTATTTGAGCGGTTCTCAGGGACTGTGCAGCAACTGCAGAACCCCTGACATGAACACACCCCAAAACTAGATCCCTCACCCTATCATAATCAGGCCACATTCACCAAGAAATTAAAATAAGGAGAGGTGCTGGCAGGAGGATCACAGCAGTGGCATTGGCACAGAGCAAATGGCAGCCCTTTGGAGCTTTCCTGCCTGCAACAGGCCCAGCTGTGACACTTCGGGAGCAAGAGGGAGCCTGGACTACATGTTGGATCTACAGAGAATGACTTCAAAAGGCCTTTACTCGGTAAAGAGCTGGGAACATAAGAGCTGCCCCACACTCCAGACAAGCTGAACTTCTTCCTGTAATGTGAGCCTGCCCATGGCCAGCAGAGCTGCTTTAGCTGTACGGCCAAGGAGACAGCACGTTCCCTCCATGTTCCCTAGACAGGTTATTTTGTCTACCCCTGGGCTGCATGTGACCAGTGTGTAACCTTGCAAATGGGACGCAGGAAGATTGGATGTGACCCAGGCCTGGCTGCTCTGCCATCATTGCAGGGCAGTGCCAGGTGACTCAGCTGTCCTTTCCCAAATCTCTGCACCCAGGACAAGATCTAAGTCATCCACACATCATCAGTAGCCCTAGGTATCAATATGCACCATGTGCTGCTGCAGCGGCATGGCTAGGAAATACACACAGGATCATAGGAAAATCCATGCTAGAAGGAACCTAGTCCAACCTGCTGAAAGCTCAGTCAGCTTTATCAGTCAGGAAGGACATCCTGATGAGCTGCTATTCAGTGGTTATTGAAAGTCCTGCACCTGTGTCAGAACAATCCCATGTATAAATGCAAGCAGCTCTGAGGACTTGGGGATGTCAGTTGATGAGAAACTTGATGCAAGCCAGCAGTGCACACTTGCAGCCCAGAAAGCCAACCATACCCTGGGCTGCATCAACAAAGCAGTGGCCAGCAGGGAGAGCGAGATGACTGTCCCCTTCCGCTCTGCCCTTGCAAGTCTCCAGTGGGTGTACTGCATCCAGACCTGGGGCCCGTAGCACAAGAAAGATGTGGAGCTAATGGAGCAGATCCAGAAGAGGACAAGAAGATGATCAGAGGGACGCAGGTACCTTTCTTGTGAAGAAAGGCTGAGGCAGTTGGGCTTATCTAGCTTGGAGAAGAGAAAGCTCCAAGGAGACCGCACCCCAGCCTTACTCTATACTTAAGGGAAGCTTATAAACAGGAGGGATGTCAACTTCTTACACAGGTAGATAGTGACACGACAAGGAGAATGGCTTTAAACTAAAAGAGGGGAGATTTAGATGTTTGGTGGAAATTTTTCACTCAGAGTGGTGAGTCACTGGCACAGCCTGCCCAGAGAAGTTGTGGACACCCCATCCCTGGAAGTGCTCAAGGACAGTTTGGATGGGACCCTGGGTAACCTGATTTGCTGGGTGGCAATCACCCCACGACAGGAGGCTGGAACTGGATGGGCTTTGAGGTCCCTTTCAACCCAATTCATCCTGTGGTTCTATTATGATTGTCTCACCTCTTGAGTTGTTTGACACCCTTCATCAGTTTTCAGTCTCCTTGGGAGAGCAAAAAACTGCTTCAGTTTTAACAAGGACAAGCCATGAGGCACACTAAGCACTAACAACATTCCATTCTCACAGGAAAGGCGTTCTAGCCCTGGAAGCTGTCCCATATAAGGGGACAGAAGTTGGCAAGTGAACAACGCAGGAAGGCTACTCGGAAACTGAGTTTTCAACTCTAAATTCCTTTGCAAAAGAAGTTTATCCCTAAGTGGCTGGTTCCTCTACAACTGTGCCAACAAAAGCAAAGATCCCAAAGGGAACACAGCCATCACCAACTCCCTGAGCTGAGTCCAGCCACTAACAGCACCTATTAGAGGACATTTGATTCATCTTTCTGGGATGAATATTCCTCTATTGGCACCAGCACAAGACTCACAACACCACTGCATGCCCTGATCAGCAAGGAAAGAGGAGAAGGATGAGCTGGACTGCTGCTGGGATACAAACCTGGCCCTATCTGTGACAGTTCAGTGATGAGCAAATGAAGGCAGTAGAGTGAAACTGTCATGGACCCTCCCAGGAAATGCACACTGGTGCCAGCATCACGCTGCCCTAATTCAGCAGATCCAACATAAAGGTCTGGGCTGCACTTTCCAGCCACCAACAGGACTACTTGGCCTGTGACCACCCCAAGCCTGTTGATACTCAACACTGCTATATCTGACAGGCACATTTCAGGAGAGAAATGAGACCAGCGCCTGTGCTTTGCTGTTTAAAACAAAACTAGGTTTGAGGAGTACATGCTCTAAAAATGTCTCAAATTAAATCACGATTTTCTCCTTTCTCTCTTCCTTTTTTTTTTTTTTTTTTTTTTTTAAGTATGGCTAACCTACTTTTTCATCTCCTGCACAGAAATAACCCCGCAGCTGTCAATACCTCTCACCCACGATCGTGCACATGCCATTCACACAGCCCCTCCTCACTGCCACAAAGCCATGAGCTGTGTCCTCAGCCCCCCCGCATCCTCAGCCTCCCGTGTCCTCAGTGCCCAGAGCCAGGACTCCATCAGCCGTGCCAGGATTTGCTGCCCAGGCAGTACTCACTGTTTTGTATCTCCAAAAGGCATATTGCATTTGATCTCTGGTTTTCTCCTACTGAAATAAAAACACAGGAGATCGCAGACCTCAGATAACCAAATTTCATCAGGGTGGTCTCTGCCCTGGTGATGTTATCTGCTTATTAAAGAAGACACTGTTACCGAGAAACACCAGTAGGCAAAATCCCATCTCTACCACCGCAACCTGCCTGCTAGCTTAGCAACAAGGAAACACAGCTACCTGATTCCAACAAAAAGCACCGCTTTATTTCTTTACCTCCAATGGCCCCCGCAATGAAATCCATCCGGACTGAGTCTGCTGCCTCAATGACCCCAACAAGCGTTAGGGAGGCGGTAGAAGGAAAGATGCCGGCTCCGCTTTACTAGAGCCCCGCGGTGAGCCAGCGTGATCTGCAATATGAATCACCTTCCTGTCTTCTCCTGCCTCGAGGGATTGTGAGCCTCGTGGATACTTGATGAATTTGTACACTGGAGGCAGTAACAGAGAGGCTGGATCTGTTCCAAGTACACGGTGAATAAGTAATCCCCCGTAGCCCTGCAACGCTGCGCCAGAGCCCTTCTGCCTGGAAAATCACGAGGGGTGGTGCTTGCGGGGTAAGGCTGCCTGCAAAAGGGCCATTTCCCGCAGCTCTCATTAACCCCAGCAGTCAGCCTTGCACTTGCTGTGCACCGCAGAGAAGCAGCACAGTGGCTGTGTTTGCAATGCGTGCCTCAGCCGTGCCTCCCCTCCCTCCGGAAAGGGCAGATTACCTTCGCACCAAGAAATTCCTCCCCGGGGCATTCCCCTTAGCTTTCCTATGCACACAACAGATAGTGAAGCCTTACCCACATCCCCTTAAATAATTACCTGCTCATCGCCTATGCACACATCCAGAAATAAATGCCAGAACATGGGAAGCTTCCTTTTCAGATCACAGGGCAGTTTTCTCATCCCCTGGAGGAGTTCTGCTGCTTCACATCTTGCTCAGCCTCCTGACCTATTTCCAGAGTCAGCTCATCAGCAAGGATCTATCACTGCTGCCCTCACCCTGATGCTTTGATCTGCAGGGAAGAGGGATTTTGCTATGGGACTGATCCAATACCTTCTTTTTTTTTTTTTAATTTCAGTAGAAGATGGTGATCTGAGGAGGGGAATAAAAGACTTGTCGGTGGAGGGGAACCAGCCATGACAACGCCACATTGCCCATTACTATTTTTGCGCAAGAGCCCTGTGCTGGACGTTATGCTGTGCCCCCAGCTGAACCTGGAAGCCAAAGTCCCGATGCAGTGAAGGGCTTGCCAAACCATGGTCTGAACTGTACTTCTCCTGATGAGATTTCCCCAGGTCAGAGCCAAGGCTCATTGGCAGCAAGGAGAAAATTTCTCAGCTGCTGCCCACTGGGTTGACTCTCAGAGGAACTGAGAACTTTTGCCCACAGTGCTAAGTCTCCTGCGCATTTCACAAATGCATATTTTGGAAGTTTCAATGACATATAACACAGCTTTCTGTGATCAGATTTTCTGGAAAGCAAAAATTAAAGCATTTCTATCAACTTGTATTCCATGATTTCTCACTCATCCTTCCCCAAACACATTCCGTGTTGGAGACAATGTTTTATTCTACAGCGTAATAACATGCAAGGACAGCAAAAACCTCAAAAACAGGAGTAAAATATTATCCAGTGAGAGGGCAATGTAACTAACTGCTGACACACACCAAGTTATCCAGCAGACCTCCCTTCTTCCACTTGGTGACCATACAAGAGTTGTTACGGTTCAGCAGCAGCCTGCACATGCCAAGTGGGGGAAATGGTTCTGTATCCAGTCCTCATACCAGAGAGTTATGTCCCTGTGTCCTCTACAGCTGTGGGCATGGTACCCAGCACCTCAGTGACACATGGGAACAAGGACATGGTCCCCAGAGACAGGCAGCCTTGTAGCAGAGACGCGCTCAGGCTCACGAGGAACCTTGGGAACCTGCTGAGATGAGGGTGTTAGATTTGCTTTTCTGGGAGCTGCTCGTGGTGAAGAAATTTATGGTATTCCCACTGTGAAAGCATCACCATGTGTCCCACTCATCACATATTCAGGGACTTTGATGGAGGGTGAGGACAGCACCTTCTGCAAGTGCAGCCCATGCAAGGCTGCATGCCAGAAAGCACAGACAAAGGTGTCATTAGAAGTGAAGGAAATCTCTGAGACATGAGACCTGTGTTATTGCTTTTGCTGTCACCCCCAGTTCACAAAGAGATCTTCGAGTTTCTCTTCCAGCATATTAATTGTGAGCCATTCCCACCACCCTTTCATGCAGGGAACACAACATCCAAGGATTGATGTAGTTCACTGCTAATCCAGCCTGCAGTGAGACACCACGGTCCACATCTGTGCAAAGAAGCACACAAGTCTCTGAGTCTCAACCCAAATGTTCTTCTCAAAGCATGCCCTAGGACATCTGACAGATGAAACATATGCTTAGAGACTCTACAAGGATAGGACTCTGCTAGAAATAGAAGCAATCTGTTTAAGAATGATTTGTTCAAAATGGAGAAATTTCAAAATGGATTTGGAAAAAGAAGAGCATGGAAGATGCTGCTAGATGAAGACTGGACTGAAAATATAAAGTAATCTGCAAGAAATTATGAAACCAATTATGAAACCAATCTGCAAGAAACATGAAACCAAATGATAAAAAAGAGAGGTATAGCTTAGTTTTGCAAAGCATGTGCTGGAAGAAATGCTCCATTTGCTTCACAGGAGGACCGTCTTCCCACTTCAGTAAGGGAAGTGACAGCAAAGTAACAGGGCCCTACAGATACAGAGCAAAATAGAGCCTGTAGGAGAGCAAACAATGTTAAGAAGCATCTCTTAAAGGAGATGCAAAAGGAAGAGAGTCCCTTTATCCTTCTCCTTCCACAGAATGCTCTCAAGATGCTCTCAGGACATTCACCATCGCTGTCCACCCTGCCAAGTGACAGAGCAGCCAGTGCTTTCATCTCTGCAACCATCTGCAGCCTCACCCAGCCAGACTGGCTGAGAAAACGTTCCTGCCTTACTGCATGTCATAACATGCTGCATTTTCCACTCCTCTTGCACTGTGTTATCAAAAAAAACCCTCTAATTTATTTCAGAAAATCCTTGACTGGGGAGGCTGTTCAAACAGCACTGTCCCACTATTGTCACCAGGCTGTTTGCAAATTGCAGAAGGGAAAGAGTGACAGCAGCAACACTGAGCTGTGACTTGCATATCAGCGGGTGAGAGAGGGGTGGGATCTTCTGGCTCCATCTGCATTACAGGTTCTCAAATCAAGTTGTCTCACTGGACTTTATCTCAGGTACAAATGAAAGAACAGTAACCCTGGGGACTCAAACATTCGCTGCAGGAATTTTACAGCTCAACGAACAAAACCCATAAGAAAACCCTTCTGGCAGCTACATTATTTCTCAGCAGGTATAAACGATCAGTGATTTCACCTGTGGAAAGCTGAAATAAGGCTGAAATGTTTCTCACCTGATCCCAAAGGAAGGGAAGATGATGACTGCAGTAGTTTAAGAAATGGTACAGATTTTTTGTATAGCTGTACTGCTCAATTGCTCTATACCTGATCTCATCAACACAACAGGTTTGTCTTTTTCCAGTATGTGCACCCCTACAGAGACCTC